ATCTGTTCTCTCAGTTTCAACACCAATCCCTGAAGATGCTCAACATCATTCCATCCGGATTCTTCCTGGTTGACTACGGCGTTATTCTTGATGTTTCGTGCTCGATTGGCATATTTTAATGTGTTTATAGTTTCGGCGAGATTGTACTCTGCCGGGGAAACACAAGCAATCATGAGCGTTTGAGCATTGCCACCGAGAGAGTCTTGCAAAAGTCGAGTGAGTTTGGAATCCCGATATGGGATATGAGTGGTATGCTTCGCTTTGTTGGGATCACCAAGGGCGGAGATCACATTTCCAAGAGCAAGGAGACCAGAGTTGATAGAGATACCTTCTTTCACACGATCACCTATTGCTGATGTACGTTTTAGCTAATGCAGAGTGATCCAATGTCGATCGCGGAGAAAAAGTCATTACGGAATAGTGAACAAATCGCGTGTAAAGCCGATAGAGCAATCAGCAATGAGTAAAAATATATTAGAACAAAGTTAGTGCATATATTACGAGTTATTGGTGACCCAAATTTATGCAAGTTGCCAATCCAATATCCCCACATGCAGAAGAAACGTTGCACGAAATAAAAGTAACGGTCTGCAACCAAAAAGATTCTTCCGTATTTCAAAATCGATCAATTTTGTAACCCCCATGTTCCCCAGATCGAGCCTAAAAAAGACTATCTAACCACATTCATTACATGACACCAATTTTACCCAAACTATTACCAAACTATTGACTTACCCGTTCACTTCCAGCCAAGTCGACGAAATGAAATTTACTCGTAAGCTGAACCCAATCACCATCATCAAATCTCTTGCTCATTCTCGAGCCTGCTCTTGATGATGTTCCAATTCTTGTTGGTGTCGATGGGCGGGTTGCTGACTGTGGAGACGTTGGCGAGATTAACTTTTGTTGAGAGAGTGTGACAGAAAATATCGCATGCGAACGGGAGGATTGAGCGTTCATGTCTGTTGCACCAGTTTGACGAACTAGTGAGCCACGAGCCAGATGACTAGAGAAGGAAATGATGGATCGAAAGAGTATGTCAATTAGTATGAAGGAATAAAGTCAATGTTTATCCTAATTTGATTGCCTATAGAGCATACTATTATTCTTTCACCGCTTCAACGCGATTTCTGTATTCTCATTATTGATGCTTACCCCATAACCTCCTCAACACTGTTAACTCGAATCTCGTGCACTCCCGAATACAAAATATTTCCTTTCGAGTCCTCTCTGATGACTACTTGTGGTCTGCTGTCTTCATCACCTTCTGCAAGCAGATCTATTAATTCTTCGTTATAAATCTCGATAAACGAGACTTTCATTTGAAATTTACGAGATCTGAATTGCGCGGAATTTATATAATTGAAGAGGGTGTTCATTGCGCGAGGGATAATACCCTGAGAATCGCTTGATTGTGAGGGCGAGTCGGCAGTGCCCATTGTGAAAGTTTTTCCAGAAGAAGTTTGGCCATAGGCTAGAA